AAAAAATAAAATCTTAAATAAAAGAATTTCATTTAATATCTCAGTTTATGAGGCATTTCTACATGTTTCCAGGGACTGTTTTGGATTTTGCATGTCACTTGAGCAGCTTGAGCTTGGTGAAAAGGGAGTCGTTTTGTGGTCATTCATACAATGTCAAGTTGTGGTTGCCTCAGAGAAGTCTTGCACTGCAGTAACTTCTATGTCCTATGTTTTCTTTTGTCTTTACCTTCTTCTTTTTTGGATTATAGGTTTAATTATACAAACCTTGAGTATCACAGGCCAAAAACCAAACCAAACCAAGGCTCAGAGCGGTTAAGTAACTTGTTGAATATCACACAGCCAGAGATTTCAAACCCACATTAGTCTCTTTAACCATATGCTTGACATTATTTATATCAAATATCATACTGGAATCAGAGGTATTATAATGAGATTCAAACCATATGTAGTTAAAACCCCAAGGCTCCAAGGAGGCTGCTATTTCTTTATGCCATGGTTCAGGGGTGAAATAGGATTTCAAAAGCATTGAGGATGGAGAGGAAGCTATAAACAATATCATCTACAAGGACAGAATTTGTATTTAAAAACATGCCTTCAAGTCAGGCGATACATTTATTGACTACTTGGAGCACATATCAAGCTGCATAAATTTTTATACCTCTCCCCCTACTCTTTTGTTTAAAAAAAAAAAGTGAATCATAGTTGAAGACACAGTTTGCATGGATTGGTCAGGTGCTAATAGTTTACAGGGATATCATGCTCATTCTTCCTTGCTGGCTTATTTCTAAGATTCAGTTCTTGTTTTCTAATTAATCATCGACAAAAAGGAAAAAGACACACACACCAGTGTTACAAAACCTTGTATTAATCATTTCCCTTCACTTTCAATATAACATTGATATGAAATATAGCCATGATTCTTAGTTACATGGGAGGAAATGAGTAATAAATACATTGTAGCAAGTTTAAACCACAAGGGTGTTTCACTGGTAACAACATTTGAAAACTGTACACTTGCAAAGAACAGCATCTTCAAACATTAGTATATCTGTATATCAGTAAAGCTTTACATGTAACAAACATGCTATTTCCATATATGACAAATTTAAAAAATATGCATTGCTTGGCAACATGAACTAGGCAAAAATAGTTCTTTGTTCACTAACTTTATACAGGAAAACAGGACGAGAGGCATGCATGTACAATAGGGATGCCTGCACGGGGCATGCAACAAAAGAAAGCTTTTTAAAAGTCAGCTTACATTAGGCATAAATACATGAGGGTTATATATTAATGAGGGAGGAAGTCTTCTGTTTGACATTATTAACATTCCTGTTTTCTTCCTATTCCTCCCAGAGGAATACACATTCACCTTTAAGTAAAGATAAAGGAATTACAAAAAAATAAAACTCACTTTGCAACAACTCTGATGACTTGTAAAAAAAAAAAACAGCATTAGTGTTATCACAGCCCCATGTGCAAATTATCCTTCCGCAGGTCCTTCTTGTAACAGGCACACCCGAGTGCCTTGGTCAGGCTGCTTCCCTGCACCCAAGCTGAAGCTGCCTACTGCAGACATCTCCAGAGGGCCAACGAGATGGGGGCCTGCTTTTCCTCCCCTCGCTGCCCTTCTGGTTGCACGCCTATGCATTCAGGCCAGCTCAGTCCCCCAGCCCAGGCTTTTGGGGGGATCCCGGTGCTAGCTGGGGAATGCACGTCTACCAACTTTGCACCGGCAGTCGCTACAAGAGGTGCAGAAGAACACAAGACCCGGAGAAGGCTCCCATTCCGTAAAAGGCAGCCAGTGACACCTCAAAAGAAAACCTTGTTTCCCTCAGTGTCTCTTCAAAGGAATGGGAGATGGGGGCTCAGCTGTAGTTCCAATCCTGAGTACCAAAAATGGACCATCAATACACAGGATTTGAGAGCTTGGTGCAAACAGCCGCCCTCTGCAGGCAGACCCAGCAGCGTCTATTTTGCTTGCTGGCCCTTGTTTAAAAAGTGAAACTCAAAAAGCGTGTGGAAAAAGACACATATCAGCAGCAATGTTTCAATTCTTGTACACAGTTCATGTGTGTCTTCCTACTGTTTCTGGTAAGAAACCACTATGAATAAAAAGCACCAATAAAACATCATACATGGTAACAATATCATAGACCACCACTATCCCTAGGACAGTGTAGAGATGCCAAATACATACTGCTTAAATCAGAAAAAGGGGGGAAAACATGTAGTGAAATAGATTTTACTCTAAGATTTTTAATGTTTACTATTAATATAAAACAGTTGCATTTGGGGGGTCAATGGGTAAATACAAAAAAAGGCACTGCCGCTTTATTACTAAATATCCGACTTCACAGCCTTATGCATGCAACTGTTTGATTCTTTTATAAATAAAGTTCTTTTGCTTTAGGATTTTAAAATTGAGCTGTATACCTGCAGTCAACACAGGACTCAAAACAAGGTGGGGACAGGCTCCTAAAATTTATCAGAACACTCAACTTAAAAAAAAAATTAAAATACTAATAGCAAAACACAACTAAGTAGATAAATCTATACACAGTCAATGAAAAATAAGCTTTTCTTTTTTTTAAAAAAAATTATGTTGTTATTAATAACAGACTTTATCATGGTTACCAGCCATAGCAAGTTAATAAGTAACATATCCAAAATAATATCTCTAATAATCAGATAACCATTGTTTCTATATTCAGTGAAGGAATAAATAGAAATCCAGATTTGCAAATACTTTAAGGTCTTCTTCCTTTTAAAGGATTCATGCTAATGTGATTGTGTTCACAATCTGTTTTCTGAACAACCCAAGTCTTTATGGATATATGTTTTGCAGCAGATCTGAATGCTTTTTCATTTCTCCACGAGATGTGTAATACCCTTGTTTTCTCTTCTTTATTAACTTTCTTAGCATCCAAAAAACACCTTCACAAACCCTCTGGTCTTACCTTTGGCCTTCAAAATGTTTGATCTAGTCTTCCTGCCTTACATGTGATCGTCCATCCCAACACATTCCCCAAGTAACACTAAGCTTGTTTAGAAAAGGGGTGTGGAGGATGAATGTTAATGGCACTTAGTTTAAAAAAAAAAATCAACTAAAAAATGCTGCCTCTTTCTGCACATGGATTTGCATGTTTAGAATGTAGTCACCCAAGGGGAGGTGTTTTCTTAACGTAAAACGTGATATAATGGGTTCAAGCCCCCTCTGCTTACTAAAGGCTCTCTACAGTTAAGATGCTCCCACCTTTTTAAACCTTAAACTTCAAAAGCAAGGCTGAATTGGGTGCACATTTTTAATCTCAAAGGTAAAAGAAAGTTGTTTAGATTTCATTAAGGCCTTTTAAATCTGTATTTACTTCATTAATTTTTTTTTAAATAACCATAAGCAAGCGCAGTGATTTTCATGGTCTGATCTCTTCAATTTCGACTCTGACTTCGCTAAAAGCAATGGCACCAGACTCACCCATTTAATAAACAGACCTTATACCATCTCCCTGATCTCGCCTCTGGCTGAGCATTCATACCATCATTTACACAACCCAATTTTCCAGTGCAGAGCACAACTCCTCTTTGATTTCCTTTAATACCCTCCATTGCATCGAATCCCAAACGTAGTCTTTCTTGCCCTTAAGAAACAGAGCTATTACTTTGTGGTAGCATCGTTTGTTAATCTCTCACCATGTCAGGACTGGTTTTCTCTCTCCTCTGTGTGGCTGGATAGATAAATCGGCCAAAGACACAGCAAATCCCCGACGTACACGTGGAGAGAACCACGTTTCCATCCTGAAGCTGCCCTTTCCCACATCTGCTTTCACAGCCCGCCTGGCCGCGTGGACTGCGCGTCTCCCCGCACGCTCTCTCTGCCACTTGCTGACTGACCAGTTATACACTGTCCTGGGTCTTGCTCTCCTCCTCTTCCTCAGCAGTGAGCGAGCCGGGGGGAGGGGGAGCGGGGGAGCGGGGGTTGCAGCCCCCAGGCTCAGGTTCCTGCGCGCAATCGTAGTGGAAGCGGTTTTTTGAGCTCATTATCTGACGTTAAGGCCTTTTGTCGGTCCTTGCCATTTCTCCTCCAGTGGAACTTGTACCCATGTGTGCGTATGTGTGTGTGTGTGAAGCGAGGCAGGGGGCAACAGGATGAAACCCCACAGCAGGGTGGGGAGGGAGAGAGGTCTCTAGGTGAGAAGCAAATCCAGCCCAGAAAGGGGCCGCAGGATTCTTCTAGAATTTCGCGGGGACTTGCGAACAGACCCTAACTGATCACACGGTGCCGTCCACCCCGTCCCTTCCCCGTGCTTCCAACCACATGCTCGTCCTGCCAGCCCACCTGCATGCGCTGCGCAGCCGCGGCCGCAAGATGGACGCCGCCTCGGCCTACGTGACGCGTCCGCCTTCCCGGCAGGCACGGCTCGGCAGCCATTTTGAGACAACTCTGCTGCTATTACAAAAATAGAGGAAAAAAAAATGAATCCATATCAACAAATCCTTTACAAAAACCATAGTATGAAGAGAAGTTCTATCCAAACTCTTTACACATTATGTACCCTTTAAAATTGTTATGTAAACAATACACAAATCAAAGTTTCTCTGAAATTTTGTTGGAGGGAACGTTCCCCCTCTGCCGCCGGGGCCGTGCAGCCCTCTCCTGCGGCTCGACTCCAAGCCGGGTCCACAGGGAAAGCCGATCCGGGCGGCAGGGAGGGCGGGCCGCCATCCTGCTTTGGTCGCACTCGCCCACGACTGCGTCCTGGGGCCTGACTGCTGAGGCGGGCTGTGAGGGGCGCCCGGGCCCAGGGTTCGGCCTCCCTCCTGCATCTCTCCCAGCTCTTTCACGTAGGCGGTACTCTTTTTGTTTATCCCCCTCTCTCCATCCAGGAAGCCACTTGCATTCCCTCTCCATCCCCTCCCAGTCCCACATTTCCCTAGAGACCCCTCCCCACCCCGCACACCAAGCCATCCCATGACAGAAACAAATGACAAAATAACCAATCCCCGGTCTACTGATATGTTTACAAGGACGACCTACGCTCTCACAAAATCAAAATGGGAGAGGGACCAGGGAAAAAAAAAGGCTGCAAAGTATCTCCGAGGATTCTGTGCAACCCTGAAGATGGCTGACACTGGACCCGCAGCAGTCGATTTCACGGCCAGCGCGGTCACTCTCATCTTCAGCTTCTAGATTGTGGAGGTCCGGTCAACCCCGTCTGGGACAGAAAGAATACATGATGGGCACAGGTGAGCAAAACCGTTCCCTTCATGGCCACCTAGTCACACACCGCACGTTGGGCTTCCTGGTCTCTGAAGACAGGTGAAGACCACACTTATCCATCCATCCACTCATTCATTCACACACCCACCCACTCAACATCTGCTGAGTAGCCATTGTTCCAGGAACTGTAACCAGTCTGGGAACCAAAACAGGAGACCTAGTCCTCACCCTGTAAGTACACGCATCCTAGTCGGGACAGATCTGTAAAGCCACAGGGATGTAGGAGTGATCATTGCTACGATGGAGTATGTATCAGGCACAGCAGGAAAAATGGAGGAAGGAAGATTTAAGTTGCCCTTGGAAGTCAAGGATAGTTTCACAGAGAAAGGAAATGACTTTCATAAGATGGTGCTGGTAGGAGAAGAGCAGAGGAGGCAGGAAAGGAAGAGGGTGTGGGGAGGGCGTACAGCTCGTGTATAGGTGTGATGCTGGTCGTCAAATGGTGGGGCTGGGGGGCTAGTCGAGGTTTAGGATGACAGGTGGGGGAATGGAGGAGTGGCAGGAGATGTGCTGAAGGGGGGAAGGGGGTTGCTGCAATGGACATGCAGGTGGACCTGTCTAACTCACATCCCTTTCTTTGGCAGCATCTCCTCCTCACCGAGTCCCTGCTGAAAACTCGGGCAAGAGGTGGTTGTGACTCTGAGCTGAACAGACCAGGGGGAGGCAGCTGACCCAAACTGATTTAGCTTCTCTGTCTCAAGAATCTGGTTAGGGGCAGACACCATAGTTAGAGGCTGTGGGCACTAGAACTGAAAGATCCTGTGGAAGTGGGTGAATGTTGAGGCTACACAATGCAGGCTGTGTCTACATTATGGAGAGCTGGTGAGACCAGGCTATAAAGTGGAGGACTTGCAGGTAGAGACAGAGGCCATGAGTGAGACAGACTGCCGAGAGAGCCAGTGGCTGCCCAGCTCCTTTATGGTTGTCTGCTTACACATGGGACTATAGGAGAATCCCCAGAATGAGGCCATAAGGGTCTTGTGTACTATGAACAGGAGCTTGGACTTGGTAATTGGGGCATTCTAAGAGGTAGAGTAATTAGATCTGATTTTAGAATGGTTTCTCTGGCAGCTGTTAGATGACCTAAAAAAAGACAAGCCTGGTGGCAGGATGGCCCCTACAGTGGCCCACGCTAGGGCTTGTCTGACAAGGGCTTATCCAGTGAGCAGACAGAAGCATGGATGAGCTATTGTAGGAGGTAGAAATGACTGTGTTCAGTGACCAGTAAATGAAGGCCAGGGAGGGATGCAGGATGCCTCCCTGGTTTTGTTGATATCCAAACATCAGCAGGTGTGTCCTGGTCTAAGCCTTGATGTCACAAACCTGGTCTACCAGGAGGAGCATCTACATCCAGTAGGGAGAACTCAGGTGTGAGAGGGGAGGGGCAGAGTGTTCAGGGAAAGCTGGAGGACCTAAGTGATATGGAGGAGTACTGAGTCCACTGCACAGGCCTCCTGCCTCCTGATGGGTGGTGCCAGTCTAGTGTTTTGCCAGCAGGGACTTGAAGGAGAAATGTTTAATTGAAATTTTTACTGAGATCATTGTAGGTTCACATGCAGTTATAAGAGACAGTACCAGGTTTCTGGGTTTGCTGGGTTTCTCCCAGTGGTAACATTTTGCAAAACTATAATATTACCACCAAGAAACTGATGTTGATACAATTCACTGATCTTACTCAGATTTTCCCAATTTTACTTGTACTTGTGTGTGTCTATAAATTTCCATATGGTTTTTGGAGAGATTTTAAAGAAGAAAAGCAAATGACCCCGGGAGCGTTTATGGTAGAGGCCCCCAGATGTGAACTTATAATCAGTAATCTTTCTCTGACTTCTGCAGGTGTTAACCTGAACCTCTTATGGTGGCTCTGCAGTGGTAATGGGTCATGGGAAACAGTGGGTGCGTGTAAATATACACACACGTGTGGGTGTGTAGAGGTCGCTCCCCTGTCTGTAGGATTGGAGTGCACACTCTTGCCAGGGCTCACTGGCCTACTCATTAATGCCAATGAGTAAGTAGGGAGCTAGAAACATGAAAATCTCAACTAACCCAACCCCAAGCTGCATTTTCACTGACTTCCAATCCTGTGCCTCATCCTCCAAGGGTTACAGTATTCATCTGCAGGGAGATGACTAACAGGTAAGTCCAGATTCACCATTTACAGTTGTGCAAGGTGTACAACTCCAGGGAGCACCATTTACATGTATTCATTATAGGTTTTATAGTTGTTATGACAAATATCAAATCAATGGCAGAACAGCATCTTAAGAAAGTGGAGTCTTTCTCTAATTTGCAACAAAGTCTCCATATCGGCTAAAAGTGAGGCTGTTAAGTCCCAAGAAGGAGTAAGGAAAGAAGGTGAGAAGGAATGGCAAGGGGATCAGGTGAAAACATGAATCCTGGAGCATTAGAGAGTGGACTGGGCATTCCTCTTTATGGTAGAATTCACTGTAGTCTCTGTCCTGCTTGGAGGAGGCTTGCTTTTGTAGCCGTGACTGTTCCTGCCCATATAACCCCTGTGCAGGAGGAAGATAGCAGCCAGGCTTGGTGTTGAGTCTTCCTTTATACCCGGAGCCACCAATCAGGAGCAGGCCCAACAGAGCCAGATGAAAGCCTTAAATGAAGATTCACAAACCGAGATGGCAGAGGCAACCCACCTCCTGGGCTTCCTCATGGGTTCTGTTGGAGGGGCCAAGGGAAGGGCAAAGAAAAGACAGAAAGGGAAGGCCAAAGAGAGAAATGGCTTAGACCGGCACCAGGAGGGCTGTACTTAGTGGAGGACACTGAGAGTAGAGATGTCAGTGCAAAAAGGATGGGCCGCCAAGGCCTGGGGCCCATGGACCAACCACATTAGAAAGACCGTCGTAGGATGTGGTGTCCCAGGAACTTGGCCACCCTCCCCTCCTGTCCTGAGACACAGGCAGAGGAACCTCTTTTACTTTGCTTTCCTCTCCCTAATTATTTGTCCTCCTGTAAAATGATTTAATTCATTGGCATTCTGTCCCCAGCAAGGTCATCTTCCCGGCACCTGGAAGAGGTGGGCCGGCAGAAGAGTGCAGTCCTAATGTGGGAGGCTCACCGCCACTGTGCCCAACTGGGCCACCCTGAACTTAATTTGCATTCTCTGCTCCGGAAACTGCTTACGAGGCTTCCCACCAGAGAGGATTATTGAGGAAAAACACAGCAATAAAAAGGCTTAGGAGATTAACAAGATGAAAACATTAGCAAAAAAACATCAGTTCAGAGAGGTTTTCTGTAAAAGTAGAAGAATGAGCTAAAAAATGAAGCCTTTTTGATGAAAACCTCCCTTTAATAAAGAGCATTTGGCATTCTTGCTACTAATGATGATAATGTTAGCACTTAGCAGTTTGATAAGGTCTTCCAACATGCCAATTATCTGAGCTATATCAAGCCCTGGGGGAGGTCAGTTCTCCTTGCTGACTCTCAAAGGCCCGGGAGTTCCTCACCCACCAGCCATGGTTGGGTGGGAGGGAGCTTGGGCTGCCTGCAGTGGGCTGAGCTTGGTCTGAATTCTCAGGGTCTGGGAGGCTTCCCTTTTTGAAAAAAATGAGATATAATTTGCATACCACAAATTTCATGCTTTTAAAGCGTGCAATTCAGAGGTTTTCGTGTATTCACAGAGTTGTGCAGCCATCACCACTATCTAATTCCAGAACATTTTCATCTGATACCCATCAAGCAGTCACTCTCCACTCAACAGTTCCCTCCGGCCCCTGACAGCCACTAAACTATACCATCTGTTTCTATAGATTTGCCTATTTTGGACATTTCATAAATTCCTATGTGGAATTGTACACCGTGTGGCCTTTTGTGTCTGGCATCTTTCATTTAGTGTAATGTTTTCAAGGTTCATCCATGTTGTAGCATGGATCAGTACTTCATTCCTTTTTAAGCTGCATGATATTCCACTGTCTGTATTTCGTTCATCCATTTCCATCTGTTGATGGACCCTTGGGTTGTTTCCCATTACTCATCAGGGGCTATCAGCGTGCCGACCCAGTCTCCTTGGTTAGCTGGAGAAGAGGACCTGGTGGCACCTCCCCACAGAGGTGCCAGGGATGGACCAATGATGCTGTGAAGCTTCTAGGCTATGAGTGGCCAAGGGAGAGAGCAGTGTTTGCAGATGGGGTTCCTGGAACCCTGGGGAGGTCACATTAGGAGCTGTGCCTTCCCACCATCTGTTCAGTCAGCAGCCCTGGGAGGCCTTGAGCTAGCTCCCTTCTGGTACTGAGTGCAGCCTTCCTTTAGGCTGTGGAGAGCCCTGCCCAGCTGAGGTCAGGTAGGTACAGTCCTTGCTTTCCAATCTGCTCCATGCAGAGCATTTACTGGTCTCATATTTGGTGTTAGGATAAGACTGTGTTTGCAGGGACTAAAAATCTAAAAGTCCCTGGTCGGGAGGACCAAGCTCTCAGGAGTAGCAACTGTCGGCAGCCTTTCTCCTCACCATGGCCAGATAGCGCACATTTTGGCTCTAGGTGTTCTGACTGCCCATCTCCAGGGTGGGTGAGCACATCCTGCCTGGAGAGGACTGGTGGGAAGGGTCACAGGAGGCCTCTCTGACTCAGAGCCTCCCGGAGGTTGGCAGGAAAGGGTGGCCATCTCTCCTCTGCCTGCCAAACATCCCCAGGGCTGGCGCAGAGTCCAGGCTGGAGAAAAGCACTTGGTTAGTACCCGGAGGGCACTGCAGGCCTCCCGGGGCTCTGGTGATGATGTAGGGCTTCAGACCAAACCGACAGCGGGACAACCCAGCTGCTTCTAGAGCTCGTGGGGCTGCCGCCCATAGGCACATCGAACTAGACCATCCCTGTCACACTGGGAGGGACATCTCAGACTGCTTGGGGCTCCAGGCATCGTGGAAGCCATTTGGAACAGGGAGATATAAAAACAAGCAGGGATTTTTCTTTCAAAAATTCTATTTTTAGAACAAGCTGGGATATGCTTGGACCAGACTGGGAGATCTAGTGCCGAGAAGGAAAGAATCCAATTCTGTGGGGGGGATGTTGCCACTAAAAGCCATGTCCTGTGTTTCTGACTCCTCCAGCTCCCAGCATTTGGCTGGCACAGCTGCTGTGGTAGGACCTCAGTGTGCACTGGGTGGGTGGCTCTGAGGAAAAAGGGACAGCCTTGGTCTCCAGGTCCCTGACTCACATCCCAGAAAAGGAGGAGCAGGGCGTTGTGGGCTACTCAGTGTGGTATGGCTTGATGAGGATCCAGCAGCACCTCGAAGCCATTCTCTCTCTCTGTCCCCTGCCTACCTCTCATTGTGTCTTTCCCATTCCTCCTGAGCTACTGCAGAGTGTAGACAGCAGATGGCTGCTAGTTCTCCCAGGCATGTGGTAAGATGCAGGGAGGACTCACTCACCTCCCAGGGCGTGCTCGGTCATACTGAGGCACAAGGACTCCAGCCTGTTGTTAATGTCTGGTTCAGTCACAGGAAGCTGGAATTCTGCAAGGGACAAAGGGTTATGTTGGTGACAGAGACTCTGAGAACAAGGAGAAGGTGTGCACGGTGCTGTGAGGCTCCACCTGCTCCACCCCAGAAGGACTCGGGACGGTGGGGATCCTCGCGGAGGTGAGTTACACTCTGGTTTCAACCAACCTATGAGTCTCTTAGACGCACAGAGTCCACTGCGAATGTGGGCAGCTGGAAGAAAACTCGTAACTGAAAATAGCTGGTCGTAGAGTCTGTCAGGCCTCTGCTCAGAACCCTCCAGCGGCTTTCCATCAGAGTAACAGCCAACCCCCTGCCATGGCCTGCAAAGCCCACGTGATCTGGCCCTTATTAACCCTTGCCTGTGTACAGCTCTCCCCGCCCTTCATTCCTTCCCAGGCCCGCTTCTACCCCAGGGTTTTTGCACTGCTGTTCCCTCTGCCCAGAATGGTGGTCCCTGGATGTTTCCATGACTCTCTCTCTCCCTGCCTTCACGTCTCTGGCTCTACTGTCTCTTTAGAAAGGACATTAGAGATGAGCAGAAATTTCCCAGTCCTCTCCCTTTCCTCTGCTTTATTTTTCTCCACAGCTGTCACCAACATCTGGCGCATTCTTTATTTGCTGCCTGCCCCCAGTTCCATGTTCACTTCATTGGAGCAGGACTTGGCTCTGCTGCTCCCTGGGCCTGGAAGCGGGCTTGGTGCATTTCTGCTTTGTTACAAGGAAATGGAAACCACAGCACTGGTGAGCACCTCTTCTGAGCCCACGACTGTGCCAAGTGCCCAGTTCTCGAGCGGGACTCAGAGTGACTGGCCAGGTTGGCTGGCTAACACAAGAACCCATGGGGGTCTGACTCCAGAGCTGGTACTCTCCTACATGCTGTAGCGACTATAACCGCTAGTCAGTACTCGCAGCCTCCAGCCACTTAGAAGGTCTGAGATGTCTGCTGTGCGGGTTCTCACTGCCTGGGACCATGCTGTGTGCATTCTAACCACAAAGCCCCCTCTACCATCTGGACCCTCCCTATCTCTCCAGGCTCCAGTCCCTCCTCCCCCCGAGTGAGAAGCAGCCCCAAGGAGCCACCTCCTCTGTTCGGCTGGGGCCCTCACTGTCAGTACCTCCCCCATCGCTCATCCTGGGAAGCTCTTGAGGGTCTTCCACTGGCTTGGAAGCGCCTTGCAGACAGCAACAGTGCTTTTATCTCTTTCTGAATCTCCCATAATACCCAGCCATGGTCTGCTGGCACACTTTACACATGTCTACTGAGTGAGGAAAAAGTGGAAGCTCTGACAGCTAAGAATTGTGAAATCCTACGCTGGGGGTTGGGGGGCAGACAAAAATCCGCAGTGGGATATGTTCTGAGGGCCTGGGAATCTCAACATTGCCACTGTCTTCATATGCGACTCTGGGAAACTTCTCTTCTTTGTTGGGCCTTAGCTCTTCAGTCTGTAAGTGGGGAAAGGATCCTGGTAGCCCAAGCTTCAGGCCATTTCCTTGCTCCTTTAAATCTCTCTCCACCAGGGGGCACTTGGGGCTGGTGGGCGGGATGATAAATGAGGTTAGGGGTTGGTGGTTTAGTGGGATAGGAAGTTGAAACCAATGGCTAAACCAAAGTATTTGTTTTCCTTGATGAGCTATACATTTAGGTTTTCTCTGCAATCTGTATTCCCCATTATCGACTAATTCAGAGGCAGATGTCAATTCTGTTGTTTAAAATTCTGAGTAGATGGGCAAAATGGATCAGTACAAAAAGCACTGGGGAGCAGATAGGGTTCTTTCAGACACAAGTTCCAGCATCAATGGGTTTGAAAGGCAACTGTGCCAATTCATGAACAGAGGACGACTGAGCTTTCCGGGGGCCAGGAGCCAGGGGGGATGGAAGGGTCTCTCCCACCTCCACCCACTGTTGCTCTCAGAGTAGGGTCGGGGCAATTAGACAATCCAGAGGGAAGAGTATTTTATTTTAGTATTTTCATCCATTCATGTGAAAATCATATGCATGCAAAATTAGCAGCCTTCAGGGTGTGAAATCTATAAAATAGAAACACAGTTTTATATATAGCCAGTTAGCAAATATGAAAAAAAAAAACCCTCAGCAATTATAACCATCCATATGCTCATTGTAAAATTTAGTTTACTCTCTAGCACTCCCCTTTAAACAAACACTGTGGAGAGATTTGGATAAATAAAGATGCTCGACATTTGGAGAGAAGTGTTTCAGCTGCAGGGTTTCTTGCCAACACGCAGCAAAATGCCATTTTCCAAGCTTAGGACTGTGTGTTCAAAAAAGGGGGCTGAGAAATGCGGGGCTCTCCGCTCTAGAATCTCCAAACCTTAGTGGCTGCTCTTTTAGGTTGAAAGTTGGCATGGTTGCTTTTTCTCCCTCAGCTCTTCCCTCTGGTGTGCTAGGGTGTCACGACCCCCACCACTCTCAGAGTGGCTCTGAAAAATTCTAAGTCTTGGGAGAAGCCCATATGTTCACACTCCAGAGTTTCCTAATAGTGTGACTTTTTAATTGTGTATTTGATAAAAACAGATCCGTGGCATCTCCCCACACATACAAGACAGAGGGAGACCAGCTGGGTGGATAACAGCTTCCATCTCAGGCTAGAAGCCCTCAGCCAAGTGTGGCTTGGGTGGGCAGAACTCTCAAAACCCCAGAGAAGCATCTGGGCAGCTCCTGCCACCCAGGCGCACACAACCCACCAGGCCAGTTCTTGCTATGGCTCCTGCTACCGCAAGGGCTCATTGCATTTAGCCTGGGCCCCCAGCTATAACGGGCCGGGCAGACATAGTTTTATGTTGTCAGTAAGGCACAAAGGAAAGACTGAGCCTTCTCTGCCATTGCCTGAAGCAGGCCTGTTTCCTTAACCCAGATGACATCTCTGAGAACCAGGAATTTTTCCCCTGACCATCAGACCATTCCAGTATTTAGTGAGGGTCCTCAGTCCTAGGATGCCCAGGGTCTAGGCTGACCTGGATCTTTTTAATTGTGCCTTTTCAGAAGTCCCACAAGTAGAGAGCCTCGTGTTCAGGCACAGGGTCAAGAAGATTCTGGAAGGGAGCAGCTTCCCATTCCTAATGAAGTGCTTCTGTAGGGTCCACCTGGGGGGCGGGTGCCCATGTGGCTTTTTCTCGGCAGAAACCAGTCATCCCAGCTGAGTCTCACATGTGTGGCACAATTCTGTAGCTCTCTCCCAGTCCCTGTGGCTGAGGTGAAGAGGCCAGCATCTTTAGTACTTTAGAATAAAAAATGGGGTATTCTAGGAAAAACCTCTAGAATTCTACTTTGCCAATAACAGCTGAAGCTACTTGTTGAATAACTAGGAAGGCTTCAAGTTAAGTGAGAAGTGGGGTTGCCGGGAGGAGAGAAATCAGGAAAGAGAGGCTGAGGAGGACAGGACAGAGGATGCAGAAGTGGGAGCCAGACTGGGTAAGGGGTGTAAGGAAGAAAGGGAGGCAGGGAAGATGGAAGCCAAGCAGGACGGGGGAGGGCAGTAACAGAAGGAAAAGAAATCGGTGTGGGCAGGGAAAGAGAGCCATACTGATAACTGCAGAGACAGTCATGGTGGTCATGGCGAGTGACAGAGGGGCACGAGTCATCAGTCGTACCCCTGAATCTGCTGTGGGAACACAGCTTTTCTCTGGTGGCCTTGTTCCTAAACCTGAAGACGTTTGTGCTGTGGAAATCCTCTGGGACCCACAATTTCATGAAAAATGAGGAGAATATGGCATAAGACAATATTGTATCATCTAGGTCTCTAGACCTACAAGTACCATCTAGACCTAGGTTGGTCTCTCTCAATTTGACTTTCAGAGACAGGGGAGTACAGGCCCAGCTGGGTTCTTGGCTGTGATACAGTTGATTCATTCACCAACCTCCCTACCTATTATCTGCCGGTCCTGAGCAGGATTGTTTGCCTTGGCCCACCAGAAGGCAGAGAGCAAAGGTACATTAGGTACTTTAAGAGGGTCCCTGTTCTGGTCTCTTCCTCTGCACGGCAGCCCCTTCCATTCCCCTAACAGACCCATTGTATGGATGGTACTCTCCCTCTCCCCACTCTTTTGAAAGGCAGTTCTCTGGAAGGAATCTGAAACTCACACTAAGGAGGCAATGAATGATAACAGCTTGGGATACTATGCTCCCAGGTATGCAGCATTCTGATGGTGGAAGAAATACAGTCATGAGCTGGTGCATAGGGAAGGTTTGCTATGGTGAACAGATACATCACATGGCCCTTTCCTGTCAGGCCCTTCAGGTGGTAAGGAGCCTCTGTGACCTCCCAGTGTTACACCAGGGCTGTTTTGAGATCCTGTCTGACTGGATCCCAGTGGTGGCTGAGGCTGGGTCAGCAGGAACTGATCTGCTTCCAAGATAAGGCAGTCCTTCTGCAAGCAATTTCCAAACTAATTTTCTAGTTGGGAAGACACCCTGCCTTTGGGGGAACGTGACCGCACCAGGCACCACACTTGTTTTGAGCTCAAGTCATCCCATTGGTGAGTGTATCAGACCCTCTCCACCTTGCTCTGGGAGGACCAACTTAGTGTTTCTTGCTCATGCCAGAGGCCAGTGAGACGCAGCAATCACTTAGTGGCTCTCCTGGTTTGTCCTGGAAAGCATCTAAAATCTGTTCCTGTGGGAATAATTTGAAAAACCACCCCTGACATGGCCTCCAAGGGGTCCACAAATCCTGCGGATCCAGGAAAGAAGAGATCATCTTGCAAATTCAAGCCAGGTAACTGATCAATTGATACAACTTGGGGGCTTTTTTCTAGCCCCCGGACTTTTTGATATTCTTTGGAGACATTTAAAATTTTCCATCATTTTAATGGAAGTATTTTAGGTTTACAGAATCAAACTTTCCTCGAATGAATTGTAGTCTTCAAGATTTACCCATCTGGTTTAAAATGGATGCTCTGAAGACATCTAATGGTCCAGAAGAAGCCATTCTGCTGCATTGTAACACAGTTTTCTGAGGATCTAATTTAGGGTTGGTTACACATCTCTACACCATTTTGTGTTCACTACCACTACTGCTTGTGTAAAGATGGAAGCCACTCGCTGCCTTCCTGATTTTGACTCCCTGATATGATACTTGTAGTTTGGTCCTGCCCCCTCAGCTGCCAGCCCCTAGACTCCTGCTGAGCTAACAAGGATGTGCTGCTTTGGGTGGCAAGGCCAATCCCCGAGAGACCCCGTCTGTCTAGGACAAAACCTCATCTGGGCCTGGCTGTGGCAATTAGCCGGGCTTGCTTCCTCTTCAGGAAGAAGGAAGAGTTCTGATCATGACTTGGGGTCTTGAAAACCAGTGTCTCATCTGCCAGGGGCAGGGATGACCCTGGAGATGGAGGAGCCTCCCATAGCAGTGACTTTCTGCAGCCTCCGTTCCCTTCAGCCAGGAACCCCTGCCTTGCCCTTCATGACCATGTCCAGGGAAGAGCCACCCGGCATGGGCTAAGTATGCTGGGCAGGGCTTAGGAGTGGCTCCTGCCCAGTACCCACCAGTTTATTTGCTTATGCTAGAGGTTAATTGAACACCCCTTTCCAAAAAAAAGACCCCCAAGGGTTCTGTAGTTCTAAGTCCAGTATACAAAGAACATACTTAGAGACTTTTGGGTTAACTACCAGGAAAACTGAAAATCATTGTAAGTGGCTGTCTCTGGGAGATGAGACTGTGGGCTGGGAGGGGAAGGGGAAGAGGACAGTCACTTTTCCTTAAAAGCCCTTTTGTATTAATTGATTGTTTAACGATGGGAACAAGAGGGAACACTCTGGGAAAAGGGTGGAAACGATCTTAGGGTCATAGTTGCCCTGAGCATGAGCGAGCAACAAAGGTGCAGATGGAGGATCTGTATCTAGACTCAAAGAGTCCTCCTAGGGATGGCCCAGCTCTTCCTGGTGGGCCTGGTCTTCCCAATTAAGACAGGAGAATGTGGGGAAAGTATAGTGAGAACAGAGGACTGAGGACCTGGAAGAAGCCAAAGGAAGGGGCAAGAGGTCAGAGAGGAGCAAGGAGGCCACAAGTGTATAGGGATTGAAGGAGGAGGGTGGTCAGCTATGCTAGGGCTCCCGTGAGGCTGCAGGGTGGCCGGGCTGCAGTCCCAGGACTGTCAGCGCTGAAGGATATGTTCAAGGTGAAAGATCTCCTCGTGTCCAGGATGTCTTCAAATCTCATCTAGGTTCTCTTTTACTGAGAGTGGATTATACATAATTCTGCGTGAAAACAGAGGCTGGGACTACATGACCCAGGGAGAAGACCTTCACAACCCCCAAATTTTATCAATTATTTCTTCCCAGGAAGCTACAAGTATCAAAAGAGAGAAAAGGAGCTTTCAAACAAACGTGCACAAATAAGAACAGTTCTAGAAGTCTAGAAGCAAGTTTAAACAAATATCTGGACCATCTCTTCTTTCCTGACACACCTTACCTTGTGGTGACTCCTCACCTCCCCCTTCCTCCTTGGTGTCTCCCCATCTCCATCCTGCCTTTCTCTCACTCCTCCGGGCACACTCCTACTCAAAATTTTCCATACATTCCCCACTGAGAGTGGCTGAGGTCTGAGCTCCTCGGCCTTGGGTTCAGAGCCCCCATCATCAGCCTCGATCTTTCCAGCTCCCTTGGTCTACTCGGTGCTACTTCAGCCTGACCCTTTGGCTCAGCCATGGCTTCTGGAACTCACTGAGGTATGTGGTATGATTGCGGTCTTGCTCCCTTGTCTCCTGCCTGCAGCTCCACCCTCCTCTTTCCACTTTTCACTCTCTGTCCGCTGAAGCTCAGCTCCAATTCCAAGAAGCTTTCTTGCCCACCGAGGGCACAGTGACATTTCCTCTCCTTAAACTCCTGTAAGACTTGTTGTACAGAACATGTCTCTTGCCTAGGGTGGGTATTTTCCTACAGGTACAACACCTGTAACCTGTCTGATTTTCCCACTTAGAAGGTCATCAAGCTAGATGTAGTCATTGTTTGCATGGCTCTATATTACTCATGGACTCTTACAAGGTCACTGTCTGCATGGGATTGTTGTCTGTGCATCATTCGGGTGACTCTGTTTTAGGAGGCACAGTGAGAGGCGCAGCTGACTTGAAGTGCACCACGTTGCTGTTTAACCAAGTAAAGGGAAGATGGCCGGTCCAAAAAGTCATGTTTGCAAGGTGCTCCCAAACCAGGGGTAAGTCTCTTAGCATCAGCACCGTCAAAGTTTTCTTTTTCTCTGTTTCACTTTCTGCACATCCCCCACATACACCGGAAGTACACACACAGACACACACACACACTGCACATGGAACCCCTCCCAACTCCCCCAAATACCCTCCAGTGATCTCTCTAGTTTAATCAATCTAGAAATATGACTAGTATCAAAAATATCCCCGTCAGATTGCAACTGACTCTGGGGCTCCATGTGCTGGCTCCCAGCCAACGAACCGCTATTCATGCTGGCAAGGCAGTTTAAAAAAGGAAAGGCTTCTATAAGCTCAAAAGAATGCGTGGTGACAGTCGAGGCTAAGCACTTTCCGGCTGGGTTCACAGGGGCATCTATTTTGGCGTCCTGGCCTCCTCTCTGTGTCAGGGGGTGGAGAGAGGGAGAGATCAAGTGCAGGGCCCTACCTGGCTGCTGGAACATCAGCATATTCTGTGGAGAAGTGTGCACGGGCAGCGAGCGGGTCCTTTGGACTGAGCTGTGGGTGCGGCTTGGCATGCTGTTGCTGCCCCCAGGGTTGGCAAACCAAAGGTTCTAGTGAGAAATGCAAAGGGGGGGGACCATTAGTGCAGACACCCTGGGGTCAGGGGAGGGGGGTGCGGAGCAGGGCCGCCAGCCAGAATTCAAGAGGCAGATAGCCCTGAAAAACTCTTTGCTAACTTCTGGAAAAGGGCTTGCAGGCTCATGCTACCCATATGCATATTTATGGAGAGGGGGTTTAGATTCGGTTCATTTTACCCCCCTCTCCAAGCCCCAGGCCTCTCTAAGCCCCAGCTTCATCTGGACAGCTCTGTCCCTCACCATCTCCCAAACACTTTTTATCCCTTTTGTTGCCTTTGCTTTTCCTATCACTTTTTTTTTTTCCAGAGATGGAAAGAGTTCTATAAATGTTTGCAACGAAGAGCACAAACTATTTCGGGGCTCTCATTTGATTTTCTTTTTGAGATTCTTACAACTTACTACAAAGCGAGGGGGAGAAGAAAGCATCTTTCAGCTGGCAATGAGCTGCACACTTAGCTTGCGTTTATTATTATGCGGGTGTCCTGGTGGTGACTTCCTCTTGAACTGATGTGGGGCTTCCCACAATGGTCAGAAAGTGGGGCTTTCTCATACACCCTGTGGTGTATGCTCTGGAGAGTAAATCCTGCCCATTTTGCCTGGAGCTGTTTTCCTGTTTTTAAACCAATCCATCATCCCTTAGTTTCTCATGACAACCCAGACCTACTTGTGCCCCTCCAATCCCAGCCCCAACCTGCAGAACCCCACAAAGCTGGGCACACAGATGGAAGGCATTGGGCAGGGTAGGGAAACCAGACTGGTGGGTGAGGAGCCTTGGGACAGAGGTCAGCTCTAAATCACACAGTAAAGACCTCTGGGCAGCCTGGCCTTTGACAGGCGGAGAATGTTCCAGCTCTCTCTCTGATCGCCTCTCTCAGGTTCCTCTTTGGATTCTCCACCACAGCTGGGACTGTGACAAAGGAGCTTTTTGCTGTGAATAAAAAGGCTAAGAAAGCTCCTTGGATGCTAAAGCTCCTCTGGAACCCAGATCTGGGAGGTGGTGAGGTCTGCAGGGGCAGTCAAGGAGCAAGGCAAATACAAGACAGGTCTTGCATTTCCTCCTACAGGCTCCCAGGTGCAGGGCCCCCAGGGTTAAAGGTCAAAGTGGCCAGAGGGCATCCTAAGTAAATCCCCACGAAGCCAGGTGCAGGCATGGCATTGTGCTGTCTCCTAGAGAAACGGTGCAAACAACTGGTTACCTCTGAGCACAGGGACACCTATATCTTCGTGCGGCCCTCCTTGGCCTTCGCGCCCACCTTGGGGTCATGTAGGGATAGGTCCTGAAGCCTCAGGCCCTGAGCTTGGCGGCCCACCCTCCCCCCAGGCACAGAACACACCTGTCTTCCTTGTTTCATGATGGTAGGGTTGGCTGTGGTGTTGCGCTGGGTGGAGCTGACAAATCCACTGGTGCCCAAGAGGCCCAGGCGGGCGGAAGGGACGTTCCGGGAGGGGATCTGGTACTGGCGTGGGTTCCGTCGGCCCATACCGCCGCCCACAGAGCCGGCTGTCGGGAGGGAGTTGGACTGCCCAAAGCCACGGCTGTGAGAGGGAACAGAGAAGCGAGAGACTGTCAGTCACCCTCAGCTCTTCCCACACCCCAGGCTGCCAGCGGGCTGCCTCCCTGGAGTCTGCTTACATTTTGACAGTTACGGGGTCTCTCTAGGGGCACCGGCTAGTTGTGTGTCAGGAAAGGGCTAGGATTAAAATGACAGCTAAGAGACATCTGAGAGGCACTATCACATGCACCGCCCTGGGACTTTGACACTGATTCCTCAGTCCTCAGGACAACACTATGAAGTAGGCGCTCTACCCCCTTTTACAGCTGGAGAACGAACACAGAGAGCTTCACAGTGTTGCAAAGGTCACATGGGCAGCCAGCGACGGTGCTGAAATACGAGCCTAGGAGGAGGACCGGGGTGCCCCCCCCAGCGGTCTTCCATGTGAGCACTCACGTGCCCGTCGCGAAGGCACACAGCACAAGGACAGCAGAGCCAGGCCCAGTGCGCCTTCTCTCACACCACAGTCTGTTTCTCATGTCTGCCCACGTGGAGAGAGTGGCCTGCGAGCCCCGCTCGGATGGAGACTCCAGGAGAGAAAAGATGGCGTCTGCCCTCAGCGGTCCTGCGCGTCCCATGCCTGCGGCAGCTCCCGGCACAGTGAAGGCAGGCTGAATGAACCAACGAACGAACGGGCCTCTGCCACCAGGATACTTCTCCCTGTGGAAGTGCTGACCCCGTGTCTGGGGCTCTGACTCCAGCTTGAGAGTAGGGAAAGAGAACGGAGATGATGATGTTTGCAAGTGCTCTGGACCTAGGACACCGACAGCTCCCCACTCCACAGGCCGTCCCTGCTGCAGAGAGACGGGGAGGTTGCGTGCTTCCCCACATGGCCCCAGGGAGGCCTCCAGGGACCCTTGGCATCGCATTGGGACACTGTGCTCCCACTTCTCCAGTGACCTCAGCGCTCAAGAACTCATTCTTCTCCAACATGCTTCAGGTTCTGGGACGGTACACAGCAGCCAGTAGGGTTTCAGGAACCAGCACATTCCTTCCAAGAAGAGTCAGCTTTAGTCATTCACTGGTGTTTAACTCGAAATGCTTTACCTCCAACGGCCACAAGATGGAACAGGCTTGCTTTCCCAGCCACACAGGGGAGGTCCGTACCAAGCCCGTGAGGGGACTCCAGCAGACCAGGCTGACGTAGTTTAACCGGTTGAAGATGATGGGGGTTGGGGGAGGGTGTGCTGCAAAATAGTCATTTCCTGAGAAAGAGAATTGTGTGTGTGTGGCGGGGGTCTAAGCCATTAGACAGGTGATCTCAGAAAATGTTTCTCTTCTCCCCAGAATGCCTACATTTCCTAGGGGGGAAAGGGGGTGGGGAAGAGAATTCCACAGGTGAGGTGGCTGCAACTGATTTCTGGGCCTGTGTCTTTCCACTTCTAGGTTTTTGTGGCCAAAAACCTGGTTCCTGGTTCCTGTCAGGGACTCATCTACGTGTGGTGAGAAGGACACTCATGGGCTCTAGGTCTGTAGCTCATCCTTTCTCCCCCATCTTCTTCTTTTTATGAACATTAAAATTTTTTGGTTTGAAAGAAGAAATTTGGGCCAGGAGGGGGTAAAAGTAATTTCACACGATCTAGGAGACCTCTTTTGGAGGCGGGACAGTCTGAGATCCATGACAGGTGGAAACAAGGATCAAGTGGTTGTTGTTTTTTTTAAGCTATGAAAACTTGTCCTTTGGTTTTTGAAGTTGGAATATTGGCCACCTGGCAGATGATTCAGTATTCTAAGGCTTTTCCTTATTTAGTGCAGATCGCTTTTTTGCTCATTTTCCTTTTTGGTTGGATTTTTTAAAAGTTATTTCAAATGCAAAATACAGTAGTCAATGAATGGTGCTAAAATGATTTGTGCTTCCAGGAAGGCAAGATTATATTCTTTCTTTTTTTTTTAAAGATTTTATTTATTTATTTGACAGAGAGACACAGCGAGAGAGGGAACACAAGCAGGGGGAGTGGGAGAGGGAGAAGCAGGCTTCCAGCCGAGCGGGGAGCCCGATGCGCCCGATGCGGGGCTCGATCCCAGGACCCTGGGATCATGACCTGAACCGAAGGCAGTCGCTTAACGACTGAGCCACCCAGGCGCCCCGCAAGATTATATTCTTGAGCAATATCATGTGGGCAGAGGATTCCGCTACAGGACACTTAGTCCCTGAAGAAACAGATCTAGGGACTCCTACAATTAGGACGCATGAACTGGGCTGTGTGTGGCAGGTAGAGCCCAGAACATTCTGGGGTCAGGCTAGATAGGGGATTTGGCTAGGCCATCTTTCTAATGACTGTGGGACCCTACTGTGACATCCTTAGTTGGTTATTACAAAGCCACAGTTGTTGAGGGTTACTTAAGACCACTAGGCTTAATGACATAATCATTCTTTCTGGGGAGAGAACAAAGTGACACTAGTAAGTTTTCATTTCTCATTCTTTTGCTCTGCCCATCTGTGTCTTTCTCTGATTTCCTAAATCTAGCCAACTGATTTCATTACCTTGAAGTGCATGAAGAGGCTGATTAATAAGAACCAATTAATTTGGTATTTGTGATAATTCAAGCAGGGGCTGGGCTGCAGTTACCTTTGCATTATGGGAGAAACAAGTCTTCAAGGCAAATTAATAGCATAAAAAGGTCCCAGAGGTAATATTTATGGGAACAAATGATTTTTCTAGAGCTTTAGCAACTTCCAATTGAACATCCACAACTGAAGATTGAATTCATATCTAATCAATAAAAACAGGTCCATCAACATTCCCATACGGCAAGCCTTGGTTAGCCCAATACACACGTTAGTTAATAACACTCTAGAGAGCTCAAGTTTAATGGGAACTCCGATATGGACCAAGGACAAAGCAGAGCCGACAGAGGCAGGGGATGACACTTTTGGGAGAAGCAAAGAGCTTAAAAGTTCTTTCTCTTTATCCTCTAAATTCCTTCTTCCTCTTCGAACGTGTTTCCTGAGGGCCTGGTGTTGCAAGAGGGGTCTGGAACCTCGTCCTCTCACTTGGGAGATGTATGGCTGCCCTTACAAGAAGAGAGAGTGAGCCTGGGGAGAGGGCAGTCCCTAGGGCAGGGGCCCTGCGAGCCTGCCTTGCCTTTCACCTGGGCCCCCGGGGGTCCTCAGGGTGCACAGATGGTCCAGCCCATCTCCCCAGGGAGGGCAACCCCAGAGAGCGTGGAGCCAGGGAGCTGCCATACAGAGTGCTGCTCTGCCTGATTGTGTTTTCTGCACATCAGCTGGAGACCGTGAGAGCTGCCTGGCATGTGTAGTGGGTTAAGATCACTGACTCTGCAGCTGGTGCTGGCCCGCCTGGTCCAAATCCTGGATACCCGCTGCCTACCAACTCCTCTGTAAATTGGAGTTAATAATAGCAACTCTACCTCATATGGTTGTTGCAAGGATTAAATGTATTAATATTCCTAAAATGCTTGGATACCACTTGGCACACAGGAAGTGCTAAATGTTTGTTTAATAAATAACAGTGTTATATATGCTGGAAGGTGATAACACTTCAACTTTTCCATTAATCTTTCACGAAAACTTTTCATAAATCCCAACTGTCCTTATCTCCCTCAAATGATATAAAACAGTGGTGTTTTAAGGCACACTCCTGCAAATAAATGCCAAAATTGTTAACAACACAGAACTTCTATGTGTGCATTGAGAAATGAATTCAGAACTTTCCAGGTGCAGGTGAAAAAATTATTTATCTGCTCACGTTTAAAAATGTAAAACAGAAAGTTGATTTTTCATGATGTTTGTACCATCATTCTTTTGTCACCCCCCAACTGCCTGTCACTGCTGAAGGCTTCACCCCACACCCCCCCTAAATTCCGCCCCCGGATTGTCGCTGTAATTCACCTTTAATATGCAGTTGGATTCCTCCATTTAAAACCAGATTAAGGTCATGGGTTCTAAAGTACAACGAGGCTTATTTTTAACTGCATCCGAGAAGCTGAAGGACTATGAAAACTCAAGAATGGTGCTGCTCCACTCTGAGATTGCAGCTCAGACCAAAATAGACCAGCACTGGGCTCTTCACCCTGCCACCAACTATAATTAGCTAGTCTGCAGCGAGAAGGGAGAAAGAAATGACACTACCTCGTAAGGTGCTGCTACAACAACCCGTTTTTGTCCCTTCAGGGCCCCCTTCTGTGGACAAACCATAAAGTGTCCGGCGGGCATTCCTTCGGTCATACCCATCTCCCCTCAGTGCCCATCTGGACTAATGCCATCATTTTGATCATGTGAAATGCGTTACAAAAGATCACGTGCAGTTCTTTTTCTGGGAACGTCTTCTCTCTACAGCGTTTTCCTGACTCCATCTGTTTAAGGAGTGTGATCTGGAACTCCCCACAGGGCATCCTTGTGGACAAGGAATGGTGCCCCGCCACGGTCCTGCCCAGGAACCCAGGCAGGCCGCGGTGCGTCAGGGAACCACCGTGCATTAAGAAGAATGAAATCCCAACATACTTTCTTTGCTGTCGATATCCTGATATGTCTAGAAGGGTTTTCCGAGGGAAAGACCGAAAGAGCTTCTGCACCTGCTGTTTCCATGACAACAATCTTTTTTTCTGAGTCTCTGTAAATGCCTGCAAAAACAAACAGGACTTTTTAATGGGTGGCGCAGCCTGGCATTAGAGGGAGGAACACGCAGTTAATGGGGGGGGGGCATCAGAGTCTCTGCAGCTGCCTTTTCTTCACCTGCTTCCCACCTGGTCCAAACAGCAGTCAGTTTCACTTGGGAGCCACCTGTACCGACAATTCAAGTTATTTGACATTGGAGGTGCCTCGGAAAGTACGTGCATTAAGCTTTTGACAATGCTTGTTTTTGGTTGCATTTCTGGCAGACCCGCAGTCACCTTCCCCTTCTTCCTGACTCTACTCTGGACTCTCCAGATTAACCGGGAATGAACTGCAAAAATGGATTGTTGACTGTTCTGGCTTTTGCAGGCCCCCTTGCATTTTCATAATCAATGGAAATGCTAAACCACTCCAAAAATCAATCTGCATGATGGTGTGTGGTCACCCTGGCGTGGTCTGCAGGCTTTCAAAACATGGAGTATAGTCTCTGCTACACTATGCTCCCCTCCCCACCCCTCCCCTACACTATAGGTCAGGATTGGTGCACTGGACTTTTTTGTAGGGCATGGGGCTTTGCTGAGAAATCTCCAGTTAAGGGGCCCCGTTCCCTACAAAAACCCCAGTGCACCAATCCTGACCTAAACTTTGCCTAAAATTTGGGAAAACAAGTAGATCTGATACCTTTTCAAATCTTTTTTAGTAAAATTGGCATTGAGGGGTGTTTTGCCTGCTTCGTAACACACTGTAATCTATATCATGTGTTCTTTTGTGTATATGGAAGCCTGGGGAAGGACTTTACAGGGGTTATGAGTCCCCAAGGCAGAGACGCTCAAATCTGTGATATAGAATCCCTCAAGGAGACTATTAAATGCAGATTCCCAGGTCCCTTCCCACACACCTAGAGCCTGATTTAATACATCTGGACAGGAGTCTAGAGGATGTTTGCAGGAAGCGCCCTGTAATTCCGTTGCAAATGGAACATGGACGTGTGGCATTCTAGATGGTTTGAGGACCCTCCATGCAATATAGGAATGCCCTGTCAGGTGCCTAAAACCAAGGTCCACAAGCTGTGGGAGGGCCCGCAGATTTGACTGATCAGCAGTAACAGTGATGGAGATAACATACTCATATAGTTTTGTCAATAAGACCTGAAATCCTTTAAGTAGCAATAAACTATTACTTAGAGTAACAGACTATTTGACTCCTTCCCATAAAGGAAACGGATTCCTTAAGCAGAGAAAACATGACAGTTTAATTTTCTCCGGATGACATTTAATCTTTAAGGACCTAAACACAGGAGAGCTATGTGAACAAAAACAAAAAGATGTTAGTTATATTGTGAAAAAATTACTGACTTGCAAACCCCTTCCTCCTAGATGACCTTAGCCAGACGCCTCTAAGGATATTCATCAAGGAGGACTACCCAACCAAGGGACTCTGTGCCTCCTTAAAGAGATGCAGACACTGCACAAGGTACATGGTGGGATGGTCTCATGGTTACAAAGTGAGGACATGGTTCTACTTTGTGGTCCCTTCTCATTTGTTGGCAGTGCTTGGTGAGTGTCCAGTTATACACAGATGCCTCTGAAAGCCTGAAAAGCAAGCATTTCTGCTGGATGAATAAAGAAAGGAACAGATAAAGTCTGATTTTGACTGGCTTCTTCTGCCAAAGTTTGAGTGAGAAACAGGATGCAGGGGCACTGATTTAGATGACTTGGGGAGGAGAGTCTAGCCCAGATGGTCGGAGGCTCTGGATGGATATGGGCGGGGCTTGAATCCCTACATATCCTTATGCAAGTTCCTTTACCTGACACTCAGTTCCTTCTAAAAACCTTCTAAAGGGAGAATATTATCTCCCTCCAGGATGTCGTAAGGTTTAAATGAGATAACACATGAAATGCACAAGAATACTTAGGACATGCCTGGCTCTTAGTAACGGTTCAATAACTGCGACTCATAGATTCTCAACCCAGGTTTTTGTGGTCGCACAGAGCAGCCCTTTGGTGGTGGTATATGAGTGTTTGTCACATTTGGCATTCCAACAATCACCTTTAGCCCCAACAAATGACTCAAAACTACAGTACCAAGCTGGTCTGGAGCCAGCCTGAAGGACAGCTGGCCTGAGTTTTCAAGTGACAAAAGAGGAAATGGCTCACTTTATAGACATGCATTCAAAGTGCTTCCAAAGGACACCAGTTCATACATGACATCTCCCATGGTGCTCAAGAACATCCAAGAAGATGGAAGTGTTTATACCCCACCAGAGAGGTGAGCTCATTCACTCAACACTGGGGCAGCAGGCTCATTTCGTCCCAGGCTGCAGATAGGATTAAGCCCCTTAGCCATGCTGAGTGAGTGTGGTGGCCACTTCTCAGTCCTGGAGGCTGCGGCTGGGAGGCCTGGAGAGGAGCTAGGTCATGGCTGGCAATGAGGGATTTCCAAAAGCTGGTCTCTGTGTGTATCTGCAAAGTAGCCCTCCATTGTGGGAGCTCTGCTACCAGCTGGGATGGCTGACCCCCACGTCAGCCATTCCACTGGCAGCTCTGGGTTGGGCTGGTAGCAGCTTCCTCAGGGACTGGAGGGGAAGGAAGCTTCCATACTACAGACTGACATAGCCAGGCAGCCTATTCTGAGTCCTCTGTCCCTGTCAGGGCCAATCCAATGAGTCTATCTGGAGGAAAATGGCTAGGATGCGCCCTACAGCTTTCATGGCTGGATTAAAGGGCTCATAAAGGGGCAAAAGCTCATCTCCACAGAACCTCCTTGAGATGGCGAGGAGGCAACATGCCAGGGATTATAATCCAGGAGATGAAATTCAGAACTTTCCTGTCCTCCCTTCTGTTACTCTAGGGAGTTGGTCCCTTTGTCCCTGGGGAGGAAGGAAGGTGTCTAGGTTTGGTCAAGCCCCTGCCACCCAGTCAGCTAAGGAATGGCATATTTGGGTTGTGAAAGGGAGTCCTGTTTCATGGAGCCCAGGTGAAATTCAGCCAGGATAGAGACTGCTGTGCCTAAATGGAGCCTCACAGAGAGGGTATGTGCTGCCCACATAGAATAACCCGAGCCTGTGGAAGATCATTCAGACACATTTCCTCTTTCTTGAACTAAAATAATAATAAAAGGTCTTGTGCAACATTTTCCCTTCCAAGGCAGAGCACAAGCCCCTTCTTCCTGACATGCCATTTAGGCAAGCAGACATGGCATGAGCCCTTTTCTGCCCAGGACTACCATCAGCCAGAGGCCCCTCTACTGCAGTCGGGGCCTCTTGCCAGCGAATGAGTCTATATGGTGCCATCTTTGCACTTAATCATTTGGGGAGGCAGCAAGAAAAAAACCAGGCATTTTTCTAAATATTCTAAGGAAATGGAAGGCAGAGCCAGGCTGCCCAAGGAGGGCGTGCACGACGGCAGGAAGGTGAGAGGCATCAGGCCACAGCTCTGGGGCTGGCGGGGCCAAGTAGGGAGCGTGCGCGCTGTCCAGCGGAGGCAGCTGCAGCGCTCATTATTGTGTCTCGCGGGCTCAGCAGACTTGAGGCAAGACGGAAATTCACTTACAACTTGTTCTCCAGTGTCTTCAAGGCTCAGTGCGAGCGTGGGCATGGGAGAGCATGCAAGGTTCTAGCTTGCCTTACAGAAGTTTAAGTGCTCTCCTAATCAGTCCCTCCAAAACCCACTCAAATGTCCTCCTCCCCAGTAAGACACAGAGCCCTCCAAGCACTGTTCTCTCTGCCTGGAGCACTCCCACCTCCTTATGCAGTGAGTCTTTACCACCAAGACTCCATCTTGCCTTTCGGGCCCAGCTTGGGAAGCAGTTCCTCTGAGGAAAAGCCATTTCTGGTTCTGGGTTTGGTGGCCTCGCTCCTCACCTGGGCTCCGTGGGATGCCAGCACAGCCTTATCGTCACGTGTGTGATCACCTGGTTTCCTTTAGTCTTCCCTGCTGCCCTCACATCATAAGCTACCTAGTCAGGGACAGGGCCTAGACGCTTAATAAAGATCTGTGGAATGAACGAGTTCTAAAATTCTTTAATGTGTCCTTGCCTTCTCTTCTTCCTGGTGCTTTTCGCTGGCTGAAACACGTGCAGTGTCAGGACTGAAAACAGCCAAGGGTGAGTTGGGGGTTGGGGAGAGGGACACACAAGAATTTGCACTGCTGAGAGGGAACAGCAAAAAGGAGAGTTTGGGGGATTGTGGGGCAGTGGCTGGGAAGGAAACCCAGAAGGAGACCGTGCTCGTGAGCCGTGGGTAGTCAGACGTGGAAGGGTGGAGGGCCCAGTGAACTGGCCTTGGACAGATGTGCCTGTGTGGCAACTGGAGGGTGGGGACAGCATAAGTAGGGTGGTAGGTGAGGGAGCCAGACCTCTGCGCTGGCTGTCTCCCTTCACTGGGGCCCACTGCCCTTCTGGGGCTCTGGAGGCCAACCCAACAAAGGTGAGCAGACTTGGGGGCCTTTACCATCTTATTCTAACTTTAAAATCCCACAAAATGACCTCTGCATTGTTAAGTTTCTTTAAAGCCTACACTGTGACTCTTGTCTCTGTGACTCTTTGGAGGGGGTGCTCCCAAGAAGCCACTGGGGTCTTGGTTCTGAGGCACAACCTTCTGTCCTCCCACGCACCTCAGGGCAGGTGGCTGCCCCAGCCGGCAGCACCCAGGACCTGCCCCGCTCCATCAGAGAGATCGTGCTCACACGGAGTCTAATGGGGCACAGCTCCAGCCTGCCTCAGTCCTTCTTCAAAAGGACATGTGGCTCAACAGAATTCCTATAAAAATCACAAATTGAACCACACGGAACATAAACACAAACACATTATTTCTTTTGTACACTCTCCGACCCTCCTTCAGGTTTCCCTGAGCCAAAAGGCAAAATGTTTCAACAGAAATTTTTATAAAGACTCGAAAACCTGTCAAGGCAAGGTGGCAGGACTGGACATTCACCAGCTCAGGCTTGGTCACTCAGATTCTTCTAGAGCCAGAAGTTTCTCTCAGGCATTCACCCTCACATCAGAGCTCAGTCTAGATGAATCTCTAGACACCAAAGTATTACAAGCTGTGCTTAGGTTTGACGCCATCATAGATAAGTTCTGCCCGAGCTATTATTAATGCCTGTCTACTCTTCAAAAACAAGTTGTTGGAGACCCAAATGATCACATCACATAAACTCTGAGAACCATTTCTAAGCAATGAGAAAAACTGTTTTGTGAAACCCATTACTACTCACCTCATGAATTAGACACTTGTCTATGAGCTGTAAATACGAACTGATATTTTCCTCATCAGGTCTGGAGACCAAGAGCTGTGTGCACACTGTGAATTAAAAAAAAAAAAAAAAGATGAATTAGAAACATGTATACCCATTCTAACCTCTGAGATCTGCCCCTGATTTCCTTTCAGGACCAATATTTTGAGAGATATGTGTGCCTGTGCCTTTACGTAAGGTTCACAAAAAAGGCCAGGAGGCTCCTCATTCCACTGAAGTCAAAGGCTTGGTCACCACGGGAGCCCTCGCCTCGAGAAGCCCCTTCAGTTAATTCCAGGCATACCATTCTATATTAAGACTTCTGCAATCCAGCCCGAGACAGACACTCTGGGAGAAGAAGAATGTGGCCATGTCCTGAGCCCTATCTCCGAAAGAGGCTCCTTTTGAGAAGGGAGTTCAAAGGCATCAAATACCATCGACGTTATGGGAGAGCAGTCTCCATAATTTAATGAATGAACTGTGCACCTCATTTGGAGGCATGAGGCTCTGGCACATCTTTTAGGACATGAGGTGTGTGGGCACGCACACGAGCAGGAAGCCTGCTACTCAGTCACTGGAGGGTTATTTTCTCAAAGTGATAACACGCTTATACACACGTAGGTCCACCCACACACTCAATTAACTGAAGTAATAAAGACAAAGCAGGGTCAGTCTGCGGGTAGAGCACACACACCCACTGGCATTCCCACGGCCATGCTAGCATGGCGCATTCTTATCTCATCCTGGAGGCTCTGATGCTCTGATCTTGATGGGGGTGTTTAGAAGGCCATGGTGGAGGTGGCTGGACAGAAGATGTCAATTAGAAGAGAAAATGCCTTGCACTCAAGTAGACCATGCTTGAAACCTGGGCATCACGATTCCTTTCTCCCCCTAATCCTGCATTAACCAGTCTGTTGCAGAATTCCATTTATACTCTATCTTTGCACAGAGACTCCCAGTATAGCATTGTTCGTATTGACAAAAGCTCGAAAACCACCTCCATGTCCATTCACTGGGGCCCTGTCAAATTATGCTTTAAGCATACAGTGGAACAGCATGCAACCTTGAAAAAAGAAATTGGGTAGTGATATTGTATTGATAGAAATATTAAAGGTACACAATGTAGAAAAAACAAGCTGCAGAAAAGCAGGTAAACAACACCTGTTTTTGTGTAAAAAGGATACTCATGTACTTGTATATGACTATTAGGAAGTTTCTGAAGGGACAGTCCAAACCTGTTTAGAGAGGTCACCTGTGGGGAGGAAGATGGTGGTGCTTGGCGGACAGGTTATTTTTCACTTCCATCATTTTGTTTAGTTTTGATTTTTTTATGTTGAGCACGAACTGATTTTATAATTTGTTTGAAAGGAGCTAAAGTTTAAAAAGAAGCCATGCCAGAGGAGTTTGGGTCTCCTGAGGACTGAGCCCATCATGGATCACACTCAGGCATCCACCACCACAGGATCATCTGTTCTAATCCCACACGGCTAAGAGTCCACCCAGGGGTGGGAGGTCAGGGGGTGGAGAGGGCTCGGAGGTGAGTGGGGGGAGACCAAGGACCTACCCTGGCCATCAAGCTACTGGCATATCTGCTCAAAGGGATGTTACAAGTCATCTCCTCTGAGCCAGATTTCTATGGATGGAAATCTTTTTTAGGACGTGTACACACAGGGCGTTTCTCACTGCACCTGTAAGACTCAGGTGTTCATTTCTTTTGGTAAAAACTTGGTTCTTTAAAATGATTGGACGATAAAGAAAAAAATGTTTCTCCTTCCCAAAGGAAAAGTATGGGCATTCACTGCATTTTTTAACACAATCACACTTTCTTGTGAAACACCCCGTTTGAGCACAAATTATTCTAGCATTGGACTTTTTAAGGATAATCACGTAATCACTGTGCCACTCATGGGGAAGACACAGGGCAGTCCAGGTGGATAGAGTGCTCTCACCTAAAGGACCACATGAGAATTCTATCCTGCCCTCCAGACAGGCACTCGGCCCGGCCATGGTGCCTTCCAGGCGCTGTCTGCAGTAAGGGCCGACTTCCGCCCACAGGCCCAAAGCCCACCGAGTCCTCACTCTACTAGGAGGGCCCAGCAAGCCCTGGTCTGAGGGAGTGGGAGAGAAAAGGGACAGGGTTAAGGAAGAGGCCTTTGGGGATTAGAGGGATCGGAGTTCAGGCGACCTCTGAGCCTCACTCTCCTCATCTGTAAATGGGCTAATGGCATCTACCCCGACAGGTTTATCCAGCACTCCGGGGAAGTGCCTCAGGAACCCGGAGCTCTGGTTAGTGGTGGTGAGCGAAGAAAAGGGGGGAGGTGTGAGAATCAGCTCTACCTTTCCCCATGACACGTGTGAACTGCCCGGGGAGATCCCCCTCCGGCAGGGGGGCGACAGCCAGCTCCCCATCACAGCTACTCAGCTGATGTGGCTGCAACCCGCCGCTGGCCCCAGCCGAGGTGGTGACTGTGGCCCCGGTGGCCGAGGCACTGTCTTTGCAGTCGGGGCTCTGGCCCTCAGGGCCCATCAGTGAGGGCGGGTGCGGAGCCTGGGGCTCCCGGTGGCGAGACTCGGGGGTGGTGCTCGGGGAGCTGTAGGCCTTGATAGGAGTCAGGATCATCTGGTGCAGTTCCTGGAGTGGGATGCGCAGGTTGCCCCCCTCGATGATGTCCTGGATGGTCAGAGGGAGAAGACCTCTGTTAGCAGCAGCAACGGGGGTGGCCCGCCATGATGCCTCGCTTCCCCTGCCCCAAGCCGTTCCCAGACTGGACGCACAGCTGCTGGCCCCTTCATCACAACATTCTTTGGAAAGGCAATCACTTTAATTTTATCATTCTATTATTAGGCCGGGCAGAAAACTTGGAAAATACAGACAGGCATAGTGGGGAAATTATACATCACCTGCAAATCCCATCATCTAGAGGTGATCACTAGAATGATTTTGTACATTTCCTTCCCTGGCTTCTTCAGTGAATTTCTACAAAAAGCATTATACAGTTGACAGGCACACACTTTAGAAGCTGTATAATAAAGCTGGGTCACGTGGTAACTTCCTGTCCTGTGTATGAGTTGTGCATGAAGGAACCTGCTGCTCATTCACACCTTCACTCAGCCCCCAACACAGGCATCACGGGGCAGTGGTGAAGAATACAGACTCTAGGGCAGATGCTGGGGTTCAAATTCGGACACGGCTGTCTGACCTCGGGTAAATGACTTAACCTCTCTGTGCCTCAGTTTCTCTGTGTAGAACACACGGATAACAGCCGTATCTGCCTCACTGGGTGGTTGTTAAGGATGTTAATATTTGTAAAGCTGCAGGTTGGTGTCAGTTATGGTGTCCTGTGCGTCTTTGTTAAGTTACTGGGTATGTGGCCAGGTTCCTGAGGAGCCAGGCACCGTGCTAGGCAAGGGGGAACCGTGGGAATAGCCTTTATGGTTCCCAGGGGAGTTTACCCCGAGATGAACATATCGTGTGCTAGGGACTGAGGTGCAGGCCAGGTGGCCGTGAAGGAAGGCTCTCTGAGGGGTGGACGTTGGAAAGGGAACCCAAATGGATGCGGGCATGAGGATTCTGGGCAACTGTGCTCAATGCAAAGGGCACAGTAAGGGCAAAGGCTGTGAGGTGGGGGCACGCCTGGAGTGTGTGAGGAAGAACAAGGAGGCCTGACGTGGAGCAGGGTGGTGAGGGGAGAGGGTGGGAAATCAGGTCCAGGTTGCTCCCGGGGCCTGAGCGTGGAGGCATGGATGCTGGAAGTTTTTCTAAATGAGATGGAACATCAGGGAAGGTTTTGAGCAGGGGAGTGACATGTTTTCAAAGAATCATTCTAGAGAGAAATATGTATAATCTATGTGTATATGATACAGCTGACCCTTGACCAACATGGGTTTGAACTGTGTGTGTCCACTTACCTGCGGATTTTTTTTCTATAAATACAGTACAGTATTATGAATTTATTTTCTCTCACGATTTTCTTAACATTTTCTATTCTCTAGCTTACTTTATCATAAGAATACAGACTATAACACATATAACACACAATATGTGTTAATCCACTCTTCATGTTATCAGTAAAGCTTCCGGTCAACAGTAGGCTATTAGTAGTTAAGTTTTGGGCAAGTCAAAGTTATACATGGATTTTCGACCACACGGCGGGGGGGGTGTGTGCCCCTCTACCCCATGTTGTTCAAGGATCAACTGAAGTTGTCTATAATATATGAACGGCTTTATATGTTGTATAATAAAATTGGGTCCTTCTGCACCTACAGTTTGACATATTGGCCATTATGTATTAGAAAAAGAGTGAAAGTGGATTCTGATTGACATTTATCTGTGCACCAGATGCTCACGGAGGCACAGAACACGCTCCGAGGCTTGGGGCCAGGGATCAGGGCCTGGCAGTCTTTGGGGCATGGTGAACGGCCCAGCCCTCTGCCCTGGTGCTGTCCCGTGCTTCTGTAGCAAACCTCTCCCTGGGACCCACAAAGGACACTGACAATCGGGGCCCTGATTACTAATGAAGTACTTAATCTTCCAAGAGCCCAGAATAGCAAGGACATCATTATAAAAGCTTGAAGCATGAGTACCAATCCATTCCTGGGATCCTCTCTTACCAAGAAAAATTGCTTGATGGTGTCAAGGAACACAAGCCCACGGAACACGATCACGTCTACACCCAGACTTTCCAATCAATCAATTAGAAAAAGGAAACCTGAGGATGGCAGCCTTGGACAGGCAACATTTCAATTCTGGGCAGCAGACCACCAAGAGCCCGGCCCCGTCGTTGGTGGGAACATGCTTTGCGCAGGAGGTTGGATGCAGAAGCTTAGCTGAGTGGGCACCCAGGGTTATTGAGGACAGTGAAATGCTAAGTAGCCATCAGAATTGTCTCAGTCCTGCTCAGGGCTACTTTCCAGCCTATTTTAGAGGAGAGAGTCTATTTTTCTTTTAAAGAGAAGGGTTTTAGAGTCTACCGCCTTCCTTCTACACCTGGCGGATATGGCAGAGGTAAGACTAGGTCGCTGCCTGTGCTGGCAAGCCTGATGTGGGAGTCGGGGGTGCTCCTGATCATTGCCAGTTTTTCTGCTGCCTGGACTGGACCAGCCTTTTCCAGAGTCTAGAGGGTGGCATGTAAATGGTTCCTTGACTTTGGACATGGTGATCTACCCGGGCAGGGTGTATGGAGGTAAGCTAGCTGGCCCATGCCAGGAGAGCACCTGTTGTCTTTCCTGACTCAACTATGTGCCAACTGGGGGACCCCTGCCTCGAAGTCCTCCGCTGCCGGCCAACTGCCTCACCAGCACCTGGTAAGTTGGGGGGGGCGGTTCTGATCTTGTCCAGCCCCTGACTGAGGCTGGGAAAAGGAAAGGAGAGAGAAGGGATGAAGCTTCCTCAGAGTGAGGCTGAGTAGGCAGAGCTGACCGGCCTATTTGGGAGATCACATGCCTCCCTGCCACGCTATCCCATGTGACAGCGACCACTGAGGTGAGCAAATGCATGCTCGTGACATTTTGTCAACTGCCACCAAGCAACCCTCGTCTGCTCCTATCACATGCCAAAAGGCTTCTGTAGTTACTCCGTGAGGGAGGAAGGAGATTTTGGTTATGCTAAGAGCTGAACTCCTTGAAACAGGAAACATACACTTGCCCCAAGTTCAAATCTTATTTTATTCCACTGGAGACAACCACCCCAAAAAGGAAACCATAAACCTCATGAATAATGACAGACACTTTCTGTAAACTATCTTATCAGGAATCATGAAGAGTTTTGTTTTGTTTCCCCACTTAGCCTTCAAGCCAGTGTCTCAAAGAAAACGCTTGGCTACCAACAAGTTAACAATGTGCTTTAGGCCAGGCTCCATGGGGTTACATATCCGACTCTTTAAAATCAATTATAGAACTCAACATTGAGTGCCCCGGTTGAGAAGGAAGCTAGAAAATGGCCCGAATGGGACTCACTCCAGTGTCCTCAACTGGTTGTGGGAATTAATTCTCCAGGTTGACAAAAATAGGGAATGAACCCAAGTCTCTATTGATCCTTCAGACCATAAATATAATCCTACGTTACAAACACAAAGAGGCAAAAACGAAGCTGTCTGGTCACTAATGGGCCAAGCCAAGGAGCTCACGGCAGAGCAGGTACCAAGAAGCAGTCAGCTTGGGCGGCACAACTCAGGGCCGGCGTGCAGGGAAAGCAGCTACTTGCCGACCGACCGCTTGCCTGGCTTTCTTAGGTCTTAGAGGAAGACTGGTTTGGAACCTTCACAGGGCACGTGATGGCAGCAAGGGGCAAATCATCTGGAAGACAGGACTCGGGCAGCCAGCGTCCCAGCACTTACGCACTGTCCGTGGCCCCACCTTCCCCCTGCACGGGCACAACTGGACTTCTCATGCAGTAGACGGCGCGCCTGCATCGACTTAAATCCGCTCCCTTGCCACCTTTTCATTCACTAGACCCCAACTGAGCCCTACAAGGAGCCAAGACCTAAAATGAATACAGCAGAATCCTCGCCCTAAGATGCTTACCGTTCCTGGGGCCCATACAGTGTGAGCATGCTGCCAGGACTGGGAGCTGTGGGAACACAGAGTGTGTGTGTGTGTGTGTGTGTGTGTGTGTGGGAACACAGAGTGTGTGTGTGTGTGTGTGTGTGTGTGTGTGTGTGTCCTTTCTCCATGCCAGGTTCCCATGGAAGGGTCCAGCTTCACAGTTTGGGAGTTAGTTGCAAAAAGGACAGTGAAGGGGCACCTGGGTGGCTCAGTCGGTTAAGCGCCTGCCTTCAGCTCAGGTCATGATCCCAGGGTCCTGGGATCGAGCCCCAAATCGGGCTCCCTGCTCAGCGGGAAGCCTGCTTCTCCCTCTCCCACTCCCCCTGCTTGTGTTCCTGCTCTTGCTGTGTCTCTGTCAAATAAATAAATACTAAAAAAAGTGAATAAAAGCATGTGGAAACATTTTCAGTATTAAAGATCAATGTTGAAAAGTCTGCCCCAGTGACCATTCTAATCTTCCCTTTTCCTTTTCCACCAGACATCTTGAGAAATCTCCACACTTCCTTCCCTGATGGCCTTCTCACCCATTCACACTCCCTGGTTCACAGGTTTTGGCTCTGTCCGTCCATTCTCCTGGTGACCCTCCTCACCGTGGCTACCAGTGACCTGCTGGTGGCCGATTCCAGGGGGCGGTGTTGAGTCCTCATTGTATGGGACACATTTGCGGCCCCTGATGGGATTCCCTCCTTCAAACACTCTGACCCTCGGGGTGGTTCAGCCTCTGGCATTGTTTGGTCCCTCCATCTTCTGGTGCTCTTCGGGGGTCTGTTCTCAGCTCTTACCACTCAACACACACTTCTGGGGAACCAACCGCCATTTCCACACAGATGACCCACAGTGAGTCTTTCAAACCCTGTGGACTCTAGCATTGTCCTTGTGGCCACTAACTTGCCTTTTCCGCCGCAGTGTCCCATAGGCACCTCAGACAATCTGTTCAGCTGAACTCCACTTCTCCCACCCTGGCAACTCCTCCTATATTTTCTGTTCCCAAATGGCACGGCACCTGGGTCGATGCCTGGACTTCCGCTAAATGACCTCTCTTGTCTCTCTCCACCCTCACGGCCCCCACCCTAGCTCAAGGGCCCGCCAAGGCTGGCTCTAGGCTCCTACCGAGTCTCCAGCCCATGCTGGCCCCTCCATGCTCTCCCCCTCCTCACACCTGCAGAGTGCTGTGTCTCATCCCAGGAAGATCCCCCACCTGCCTCGGTGATGGCGCTGATCACAGGGGACTGTGAGGGCACTGCTCCGTCTGTGTGACATGTCTGTGTCACAATGCGCATCCGAGCTCCCCAAAGGCAGGAACCAGGTATTTCTGTATTACTCACGGTTAGTCTCCAGTGGATGGGGGTAAATCTAGTCCAAGTCAGCTGCTTAGTACGTATTCAGTGAGTGAGTGGAAGAGCTCTGGACCTAGAGCTTACCTGCAGTGACTACTGATTATGAACTAGCCACGGGCGGGGTCCCAGCTATCTCCTTAGAAATCTCTGGGTTCTATGTGAGGTAAGAATGCTGTAGGCAGGGGCCTGATGACAGCATTTGCAACACCATAATCAGCCCGGGACCTCTGGGAATGCCACAGAAAGGGCTGGTGTGAGTCTGTGGCTGATGGCCTAAGTGGTAACACAGTAGGGACAACTCCCTCCCTCCAAGAGCAGGAAGGCCCTGGGTCCCGGAGGAGAGAGAACAGAGCCAAGGGGCTGAGTCCTCAGTGGATGCTGAGGCTCCCCACCCCCAGGCCATCAGCTCCTGAAGGGAGGACCACACAGGTGTCTGAGCTCAGGTGTTCTGAAGCAAGCTCAATGTGCCGGTCTGGTAGGGACACAAGCTTTCTTCCCAAAGATGTCAAAATAAACTCATTACTGCTCTTTTCTTGGCCATTAGCTGCCCTCAGATTTTGTGTTACTTTTGTCATCTTTTTAACAATTCCCATTCCAGTGAGCCAGGCAGAAGGTATTTTTGTAGAATTAATACTATTCTAGGTGCGAAATGGCAATGGACTCCTCAAAGGCCAGAGAGAAAGTCAGCGACACGTCCAGGCACCTGGGCCACCTTGCTGCCCTTGTGTTTCCACACTGAGGTGGCCCAAGTCCACAGGGAGTAGAGCTAACAGCAGTTTCGTCTCTGTCTCTCAGGTCGGTGCGTTTCCTCAGTGACAGAGTTCCTGGGAGTTCCCAAAGGATGCTCCAGAGATAAAGGGGGACGATCACTCTTTCACCATAATACTCAGCAATCTAGTCCTTAGGGAGAACACTTCCTGAGCTTTCTAACAGAGGAGAAAACTGGCCTTTTGCATGGTCCCCAAAAGAGAATGGGTTCTTATGTTAAAGATGGCAATAATCACTGTTAGACAAACTGCTTGGTAAATAGAACAGAATTAAGAACAGCAACCTCGGGTTCAGTTGGGTAGGTTGCTTGTCATTTGGGATTCACTTTAATTAAGGGCGGGCCTTTCAGCACGGATGTGCCATGTGAGTAGCCTCTACCCATCTGTCGATCCCAAGGCTTTCAAAGCCACCTTCCTTATAAAGTTATATATGCATATTCTATAAATATATATTACTTTATATTTTATGTGATATGCATTAAATGTAACTTTTTATATTCTATGTAAAATTATATACACACATCTTTATAAATCAGTAAAGAAAAACTCTCATTGCACTAAAATGTTTACATGCTCACAGAACTTGTGTTAGGCCCACCTAGCTCCATACTTTGTTCCCGTCCAAAGGCACCCTGGGATTACTGGACGACATGACCACTTAGGCTGTGCAGGTAGCACGTGCCCACGGAGCTTCCGGCCCACCAATCCCAACCACCTCCCAACAGCAGTGCCTGCACAAGAATCCCAGCTTGGGGCAGAGGCAGCACAGGAACGAGGCTGGCTCTCCTTTGCACCTTAGATGAAATCATAAAGTTACCAAGTCCCCAAAATGAGAGCAGTACGAGGGTGATGTCTGGATACAAAGATAGGAAGAGAACCTGTTTAGGCAGCAAACAAAAAGGGACAGTGGCAGCTGATAAGGCTTATCAGCCAAATGATTCTGATTCCCTCTACTGAAGCTGGAGTCTACTGGGATGGCCAGTCACAGGCTGCCTGGACCCAGGCAATAAGTATATGTCAGTGGTCAGGTTCCATAGAAGTGTGGATAACCAGGAAACTTCACTTCAAAATCCTTTCATTTTTTTCTGCCTTTGGTAAGGAAACAAGGTGGAACACTCTATAAGGTCTGCCAATGACATCTTCAGCTGAGACTTTTCCCATCATGGTGGCAGAGATATGCCCTCCCCTGGTGATCACTCACCCTTTCCAAAGACTTCAGGAGGTTTTGTCTTTCTTTGAGCTTCTGAATACTGATGACAATTTTGTGTCTTGCACCTTTGGTAACATTCTGTAATTAAATAAAAGTTAATTTAAAAACATATTTTTAAGAATCAGTTTAGAGACTCCTGGAGGCTATTTAGTACTTTACTGTCTTCTTGGTTTCTACGTTTGTGGACTAGTAAATATCCATTTGTCTCTCTCTTCAGTCCCCTCTGTCATAAACCTCTCCTTACTAAATGTTCTAACTACATCCAGCTATACATTTACCTGTGTACTTTGGCTGTGACCTTTAGGAGAAAAAAGAGAGAGAGCTAGAACAGCAAATTACCCACCCAGCATGAAATTTCTTCACAGTCTTAAACAATCATTTTAAAGTCATACACCCCTCTTCTCCATATTTTGTCATTTCAGTCCCACCCAGGTTGCTTGAAAGTTCCAATCCCATACAGAGCTTCATTGTTTTCTCCAACCTTTCCTAGGTTTTCCCATCTCTGAAGTCTGGTATGGTTCTCACTGGGTGCCAAACAACACAGGGCCATTTTGGGCAGTTTGCAGATCATCTTTGGTCTCCATAAGGAGGACCAGAATAGAAAAGAACCTAAAACTCACTTCAGTCATCACTTGAGCTAAATGATTAGAATTCACAGTTAGGACTGTGGATTTTGGCTTAACTACGTGCAATGGTGAGCCCAGGGATTTAGTTCAATACTTGTTGACTAGAGATACTGCAAAGTTCCAAAAAGGAGGTCCTTTCTTAAGTCAGGTCTCTAAGACAAACTTCTGGTGACTTCTTACAGCAATTCATAGAATTCCTCTTACAGAAGGAAAAGATGGGAACACCAGAGACATCTCCTTCAGAGATATTAACACTCAAGGGACAACTGAACTCACTCTCTAAGATGAAGTGCTGGGGGCAGATTTCTGTTTAGCCTTGACTTTGGGTTCAAGTGAATTAAATTGCTCTGAAAAGTTTGTTCTGGCCTCTGGCTTTGCCCTCTCTGTCAATTATGTCTTGTTTTTTCCTCAAGTCAAATAACCGAGGACTTAGATTTTTTTTCCCCTCAACTCGGACGCAAACACAAAAAATACTCTTAGAAGTAGTTCTCCTCAATCCCTGGGATCTCAAGGAGCAATCGAGATCCAAAATGTGGTGGGAGAAGTGTTAGGAAGTTGAAATTGGTGCTTTTCATTCTCCGAAAATGTGCAGTGACTTTGGGCTTTGTCTTGCATCTCAATACTTGTATTCAGCCAGGCGTGCAGAGGTTAACTAAAGGTACTGAAGATGCAGTGGGAAACCAGCATCTGCTGGGAGGTACGAGTCCAGAGCAGTACTGCCCCAAATGGTACAATCTCCTCTTCCTGCAAGGGAAATACTATTAGCCTGTTCAGACCATTAATTCTTTTAAATCATTGCTCAAAGGAAACTGAGGTCAATTTGAAACATGCAAATGGCATTTTATTTTTTTATTTTATTTATTTTATTTTATTTTGCAAATGGCATTTTAAACAAGGGAAACAAAGACATCAGTCAGATCTAGTTACTCAAGCACAGCATGGTAGGAAACATGTTTGGTTTTGGGGGGTCTGTTGACTGGCCTAGCCTTTGGCATCCACCCTTGGGGAAAGACGCCTGAGAAGGAAGGGGGAACTTCGTTCTTTGATGGCACTCAGAAGGGAAATGAAACCTGAGACCTGGGGTTATCCCATTTTCTGTGACGGTCCTGTGTTATGCAAGGTAGGCAGAAGAAAAAGTGTTTTGCACAACTTACTCCAATCTCAACTGAGTCCAATCTGAACACGTTTTTGGAAAAGTGTTGGAGAAGGTCTGAGGCATGACCTGGTGCTTCTACCCACTAACTACTAGAAGTTAGCTAATTTGTAACCGGACTGGACAACCCGTCTGGCATTGTCCAAACCACCCTTAGTCGGACGGACGGAGGGAGGGGGCAGGGAGAGCAAAGGCAGGAACACAGAATCTTTGAGGCCTTGGTCAAATGTTCCTTCTAGGCCATTCCACCTTGAACTTAGAGCCTTTTTCAAAATACTCCTTCTCCTGAGCCGTATTTGCCTTGCAGTTATGTGCTGGTCCCCCGCCTCCTACTGGACGCTGAAGACAAGACCCAGCCGTACTCACCGTGTAATGCTGGCCAGCACCTAGCAGCTCGTAGAACAAGGCAAGCTACTGGGTGGGGATAGGTCTGGGTCCAAACAAGGTCTGTCTTGGGCGGGAACTTCAGGTTCCACCTGGGGCACCTTCTCAGGGGATGGTCACCAGCAGCACTTACCTGAGCCTCCAGCTGGCACTCAGTGAGGGCCATCATTTCCTCGTAGGTCATCTGGGAGAAAAGCGCAGCGTACTTGTGCAGGCGGAGGCTTTTTAACCAGGCCGGAACATCTGTGGTGCAAGATGCGCAAGAGATGGGGAGAGAAATTGAAAGGGAACAAGAAGAGATGACAAAAGATGTGGGAATAGAGAAGGAAAGGAGGGTGATGGTCAGAGGGGAAAAAAGAAGAAAAAAACCCTTTATGTTACTAGTTGTTCAATTCCATTTTGGCAGCAAATTACGGACTTCGAAGTCTTGGTCTAACCCTGACATTCCCACCGTCAGTCTCCCTTATTCTACTTTAGACTAGGGGGTGCAAACTTGGGGTCCATGGGCTGCAGGTCATATAGGAATTCCCTAGAATTATATCACAATTTGTGATATAGTTTTCTGGACAGAAGTCACCCATAGCTTCCATAAGATTCTCATAGGGGTTCATGACCAAAAACATGGCAAGGAACCACTGCTTTGGCCAGACTACTTCAATACTGATTTGGAAAGAAGTGACTTAGAATGTTAAAACTACATGTGATGAGTCTTCATCTCCAAGATTTCCTTCTAGGCTCAGTGTAGCTCTCCACATGCTCTTTGTGCCACCTCCACAGGAGAAGCTCAGCTAGGCAACCGTGGAAGTCCATGGGTGGAGTTGCTGTCATTCTTAGCCTAATCTTTCTTCTGCCTTCCTATGCCCCAGCGGGAAAATAAGGGCATCCTAGACTCCAAAACTATCACTCCAGTGTGTGTGTGTGTGTGTGTGTGTGTGTGTGTGTGTGTGTGCGTGCGCGCGCGCGCCCCTGCTGACCATTTCTCCAGGCTATGGAATATGTCTGGATGTGTCTCAGACCTTTCCCTTGAATAGCAATCACAAATATACCAGGACTGGAAAGGCCCAAAGATTGGCTAGATCATAGAATAATGGAATTTCCAAAGCATATCTGAAATAAGCCCACATTTTGGATTCTAGAGTTGGGAAAATTAAATAGTAACTATATCAAAATCCATGAAAATTATCACCTTGCTAAGTTCAACCAAAACAAAGCACTTGCCCCTGCTCTTTTAATTCAGAGTTTTTGAGCTAATAAGGTCTTTCAGAATTCTCTAGAATCACCTCCCCCGACCCTTCGCTCATTTTACAGATGGCAAAGTTAAGTCACTGTCTAAGTCACGGAGCAAGTACGTGGTGAAATGGGGACTAGAACCAGGCCTCCCAACTCCTGGCTTTTTCCTGCCTTGTAGCAACTTCTTGTGAGATAAGGACCAAACAGCCCATCAATGGTAGGGCTGGATAAACAATGACTTCAAAGTACTTTGAAATGTTGAAGCACTGGATAAATGTTATTCATGTTTCCTATAAAGTATTATCCATTACTAACCATGTTGATTACAAGATATTGTCTGTTGTGCCAAGTGCTTTATTCTGAGGCACTGACAAACACTCCAGAATAAGTGGGAAACTTCCAATTTCCAATTTTTAAAGTAGTTAACTGGGATTGATGAAAGAAACCTGGCCTACTCTGAAATCAGGCCCGGCCTCCCCAGGGAACCCAACCTAAACTTATGGAATGTGGGTATTCAGTGATCTCCCAAAATTCGAAGATTACAAAGGGGAGGGTGGTGGGCCTGGTGAGTTTACCTCTTGATCTGCAGTAGTGTGAAGGCTGAAGAAGGGGAACCTCTAAAGAAATAGAATTGGATATCCAATGCCATTTGAAGACCAAACTCAGTCATCTCAGGCAAGAAATCACTTGATTCTGTGCTTCGAGGCCCTTCGTTCTACTGTGACAAGCAGAGTCCCTCTGGGACCATCAGGAACCACAAAGAGAAAAGGCTTCCCCAGGCACATAGTATCAACCGCTTATGTCCTCCTTGACTCAAACTGCGGTTGCATAGAGTCCGGGCCCTTCCAGCTCAGGCTCTGGCACTTTCCCTCCCGTGACATCCTGCACCCAGCACCCATTTTACCAGAATTTATTCTCCACCATGTTTTGTTGTTGAAACAATGCTAATCTTTCTGCAGAGTGAGCAGCAAAAACTACAGCTCTGGCTTTGGGGCCAGTGACTTGTTAATGCTTTGGCACCAGATTTCATGTTGACTACTCACATCTTTGAAAAGTCCCAAGTTGCTGCTCGGGAAACTCAGTGGATCATGATTCAGTGAAGTCTGGGTAACCCACAGCACACTTGGGCACAATTTGTCACAGAGAGTACAGAGCATCTCATGGGCCAGACTTTTCACTGGTGCCCTACAGTTTCATCATGTAAAAGCCACTCACGATAAAACAGAATCCTGAGCTACTAAATCATGTTGTAAACTGGGTATTTTATAGGCCAAGAGGACAATATGGTGTTTTAAGAGTTGGGGAGAGTGGGGTGCAAATCTTGGCTCAGTGAGACCAGTACTCCAGTCAGTACTAGCTCCTTTCTAGAAAAGATTTGGACAACCAGAATTCCTGTTAGAGGGATGAAAGAGCCTGCCTCACCCATTTAGTGAAGACGTGGGCCACTGGGAGTTGTTTTCCTACAAAAGGTTCCTACACAACTTCACAACACGGTGAGTAGGCCTTCCCGAGAAGTTATTTCTAGATGTGTTCCTGGGCGATGTAAGCTCCTCTTGGCCATTTTTCCCCGAGGCAGGCACATGTTCTCTGCTTGTATAGCAAGTATCTCCGTGCCTTGCTCAGTGCTGCATGCTGAAAGGGCTCTCCTTCCTCAAACATGAACAAAGAAGAGGAAATCCCAGTTCTTTTTTTTTTTTTAAGATTTTATTTATTTATTTGAGAGAGAGAGAATGAGAGAGAGAGAGCACAGGAGGGAAGAGGGTCAGAGGGAGAAGCAGACTCCCCGCTGAGCAGGGAGCCCGATGCAGGACTCGATCCCGGGACTCCAGGATCATGACCTGAGCCGAAGGCAGTCGCTCAACCAACTGAGCCATCCAGGCGCCCGAGGAAATCCCAGTTCTTAAGAACATAGCCTACTAATCTTTTACCCCCTGGTTGGAGATAAGGCACGTTCCTTTGCCAGGGATTAAAACAGAACCCCCTTAAAAGGGAAACAAACCAGAGAAGTGAGCACCTGCACCATTTCACTCCTCCCAAGCCAGGAATTGCAATGACCGGGATGCTAGATTCTGTTAAGATGCTACCCAGAGATGAAGTCTAACTAAAAGGTCAGATCCTTTCCCATGGTCCAGGTGCCACAGGGTTGGAGGCAAAGCTGAGAACCACCTCACATAACCTCAGACATTGTTTCTTCATTCTGCAGATCCGTGGCTATGTTTGAAAGAAAAGACAAGCAGGGGTGTTTCTTGAAGGAACTGATATGTGACTGGCGGCATGCATGCCTCCTGGGTGCCCACCTCTGGTGGCACACAGCTATTTAGCCTCAACTGGGCTGCTTCTGATGGACTTGCCAACGGAGGTCCCAGACTAGAAAGTCATTCTCTTATGCAGTGTGAGAAAGATTAAGATGCTTTTGCTATATGCCGGGTTGACTTCCTTGTCATGTGTGGGCATCCTGATATTTGCTCACTCAACGTTTGTTGAATGTTTACTCTGGGGGCCATGCAAGTCCCTGCCATCAAGGAACTTTTAATCCAGAATGGCTGACTCACACAATACATTTAGAATAGTTGCAGGACAAGTGCTAGGTCAACTCCAAGTTCTAGGTGGGCACTGACAATGAGCATTTTGGTTTCCCTTGGGGAGTGAGGGATAGCTTCACAGTGGCAGCAGCCTTGGAATCACTGGGCAGACCATACTGAGGAAGCCTCTGCGGAAGCAGGAACAGCATATTAGCAAAGCACAAAGCCAAGAGAGCAATTGGGGCCAAGCAAACACTTGGGTGAACGTTAGAGAATGGCTAGGAAAAAGGTGGGGCACGTAGGCAGGGGTGTGAAGATTGAGATCTGTAATGATGAAACAAAGAGGACAGACCTCGTCTTTGGGTGATGAGGAACGGTTGAAATCTGAGCAGCAAAGGCACAATCAGATGAGGATGTTAGAAAGATGATGGCTGTCAGTGTAAAGGCTGGACTGGAGGATGTGGGAGGGGAGACCAGGAGATGAACTGAAGCCCTTGGAGATGGCTTGGAAGGGCAGTGGCGAGAAAAAGGATATAAATGGGTAGTATCTGAAGATCAGGGAAGAATAGGGAGTAACAGTGAGACTGGTGGTTCTTCTGATTCAAGCTTGGTTAAGACAGAAAGTACAGGGGAGCCGCCGGTTTGGGGTGACAAGGGATAGATGGTGAGCTCCACTTCATGTCCGCAGAGTATCACTGCCTTTGAGCCATCTAGGTGGAGAAGTCAACCGGACAAGATCTCTGAAGAGAGGTCTGAACAGGAGAACCTGTCAGCAGCACATGGTAGTGGCTTTAAGCCATGGAAGTGGGTGAGATCACTCAGGGAAAGAGCATGGAGTGAGAACAGGGGTGAGCCAAGATAGAGCCCTAGGAGCATGAGGCATTCAGGGGAAGGTGTGGGGAGAGAAGCCCACGAAGAAAATTGGGAAGAGAAAGCTGAAGGGTACGAGGTTTCTGGGAGAAAGCACCACCATCCATGTGCAGATGATGGGTCCCTGTACACAGTCCATCTTTCATGAGGCTCCTTCTAGATCTTGCTGCAGTCCACAGTGGTTTATCTTCACACGACCATTTTTGATAATAGCGCTACATTCATCTTTCATATGCTCTGTGTTTACCTGTTGGTCTTTACCAATGGGATCAATTTCCAATTATGTTGATTTCTGTTTCCCTTTTAGCGTTTGGGCAAACCAGCCACAGATAGGCTTTGTGGTGCATACAACAGCTCACACAGAAGCTGGGCTCCAATTAGAACTTGAGTTGCTTTTTTCAAATATTTGCTGCTGGAATGGCTGCCTCTACCATTCAACAGGCCATGTGGTACCTGCCTCACAAACACAGAGGCTCCACAAGAGTGAAAGATGGAACCGATACTGCAGAAGGGCCCAATATGGGAAGCCTCGTAAGGGCAGGAAGTAAGGCGTCTCTGGAAGAGAGAAACATGAACAGCCTTGGTTTCCACAAGAAGCCTCACCTGTGGTGGTCCTGGTAC